GATTTTCCTTGGAGGAGAAATCTTGGTTTGGAAATTTGTATGGTAGCTAGCGGAGCCGCGGCCTGCGGACTCCTGTGTTGGTTGCAGTGTTTGCGCAAACCTTCGCTAGAGTGGCCTGGGGTCATTGCTAGGAACAGTGTTTGCACAAGCCTTCGCTAGAGTGGCCTGGGGCCATTGCTAGGAACCGTGTGCGCAAACCTTCGCTAGAGTGGCCTGGGGTCATTGCTAGGAACAGTGTTTGCACAAGCCTTCGCTAGGGTGGCCTGGGGTCATTGCTAGGAACCGTGTGCGCAAACCTTCGCTAGAGTCGCCTGGACTCATTGCTAGGAAGTGCAGGGCAGAGTGTGCTGCAAGAGTGGGCGCAGATCTTGGCAGTGTGATCTGAAGGTGCTGGCCTATCTTTTGAGCATGTGTGCGTGGTCTCCATATCGGGGTGTTGACTCCTTGCGTGAAACATGGAACCAATGGAGTGGTGGTGCTACGCCAGGCTTCCTTCCCGGTCGCCTTGGTGGCAAAGTCTACCGTATGGACGCTTACGCGCTTCAGCAGTGACTCTCGCTTCTAACCTCTAGGAATGTAAAAAACGGCGTTTCCGCCCCTCACATTGCGTCTGTGGGCGAGGTTCGGCCCCGGCGCCACGGGCAGGGACCCCAGGCCGCACAAGCTTTTCTCCGTGACTAGCCCTGCCTTCTACTTTAATAAATTTTCAGCTTTGCAAACGGCCTCCAAACAGCCCCCGGCAGGGCCCAAAAAAGGCCTCAAGAATCTGGGCGACGCTTTTGGTCGCCCAGAATCTGGGCGACGCCTGCAAAGCACTTGCCGGGCCAGCGGAGAAAACTTGATTTCAAAGTCGGCTGCGACGTCGGCCAAGCCATCAGTTCTTTTTCCCCCGAGCTCGGGGGAAGACAAGGGGGTTGTAGGGGTGGGCCTCAATCCGCATGGCGCCGTTGGGCCCTCAACCCTTTCAGGGGAGGGCCCAGGCGTCCCGCTGTAGAAACCCTAAACCCTAAACCCTAAACCCTAAACCTCTATTCTCTACTCTAGTATATATATTTAAATGTTTGCCCTACAACGGGTGCGCCCGCAGGAGGCTTTCTCAAGACTTTCTTTTTAGTTCTGCGCGTGCCCCGCAAGCTTCTAAATCGGTTTCGTTGTTCAAATCCAAGTTCGGGGGCCAAAATCGCAAATTTTGGCACGCGCTAAACTCGCGCGCTTTCTGGGTTGGGCCCTCCTGGCCGCGGCTGAAGCGCGGGCGCGCCGGGGCCCCGCCGTGGGGCTGGTGGCCTAGTGGTCGCGCGCCCGTCTCTGAAGCGGGTGGCCCCGGGCTCGGTTCCTCCCTGGCGCGCCCTGTCCGCGGAGTCGGCGCGCGCTTCTGAAAGCTTTCTTTTTCAGTTCTCTGTGTTTCCCGCAAGTTTCTAAATCTGTGTTCGGGCAGAAGTCGCCAAATTTTGCAAACTTGCGCGCTTTCTGAGTCAGGGCCTCCTGCCCGCGCGCCGCGAGCGTGGCGCGGCCCCGCAGCCCAGTGGTCGCGCTTCCGTCTCTGGAGCGGGTGGCCCCGGGCTCGGTTCCTCCCTGGCGCGCGTGCTTGTTTTTCGCGGCCCCGTCGTTTTGGGCCAGGCAGTGTTTTTCGTGGAGCGCCGTGGTTTGCCACTTCCAGCAATCAAGAGCGCGGCAGCCGTTCATTATCATTACGCTTGATCGGCTCTCTGAGCACTTTCGCGGTCGATACGCTCTGGGCTTTGCGCGGCGCAAAACATTCAAGCTGGCGGGGCGCGCTGCACTCAGCTAAACGCAACTTGAAATCATCGCCGAGCCGCTGGGGCTGCTTCATGAAGCTTCTCAGCGGGCGTAATTTCCTGGCCCCTTGTGCGCAACATATTGCTTGCCGCCTGCCACATTCGTCTTGTTCGCCGCTCGCCGATTTTTGCAATTCGTCACCTACGTCGTCGGTCGCGCCGCGCGTGCGCCCTCTCGCCGCCTTGCTTTCGCTGCGTTCGATTTGTTGCTTTGCGCTGGTGTGGAAGCTGGCCCTTGGTGGCGGGCCTGGGTGGGTGGGATTGAGATCGAAACATTTGATTGACGTCGCTACGAAGATTTCCATGTCTCAAATCCTGTGAACCCTAAACCCTAAACCCTAAACCCTAAACCCTAAACTTTTAGTGGCTCGCGCCAGTGTGCGCCAACACAGTATTTTTTGTTTATGCTCGAGGGGGCAAAGACAGAAGTTCTATAGGCCGGCTTCCTGTGGCAGAAGCGGCCTGACTGTGTCGCTGGGCTCTGCAAGGCAAGGGGCCGTGGCGCAGTGGCAGCGCGCCTGCGGTCGACGCGTCTGCCGCGAGTGTCAGGGCCGCAAGGCGCGGGGCGCGGGGCGCTGGGCGGGGCTCTAGGCTCCAAGGTTTTGGGGCGCAAGTCTCCCGGGCGCAAGGCGCGGGGCGGGGCGCGGGGCGCCAGACGGTGGGCGGGGCTGGGCGCGCAGGGCGCTGGGGGACTGCGACGCGCGCCGTGCCGGGAGACGGCCTCAGGGCCGACCGCGCGCGAGGCGCGGGGCGGGGGGACGGCCCGAAGATCGTTTTATTTCAAAATCAACGCGAATTGCCACTTCATCAAGAGCAATTGAGCAAATGGCTGCTTTATCAAGGCGCCCCAATAGACGTTTATCAAGCCAAAGCGCCCGTAGACGATTTCATCGCCCGTAGACCATTTTATCGCCCCCAACGGCCGTTTTATCAAGCGAAGGCAGCCCGTAGATCGTTTTATCGCCCGTAGACCATGTTATCGCCGTTTTATCAAAGCCCGTAAACCATTTTATCACGCCCGTAGACCATTTTAGCGCCCCCAACGGCCGTTTTATCAAGCCAAGGCAGCCCGTAGACCATTTTGTCGCCCACAGACCATTTTATCTAAAAAAGACCAGGGCGCACCCTATAGAATAAAGTGGTTTGGTCCTTTACATTTTCGTGAGTCGATTTGAATTTGTGTTGGGCGCCAAGCTGTGTTGGCGGACCCTAAACCCTAAACTTTTAGTGGCTCGCGCCAGTGTGCGCCAACACAATATTTTTTGTTTATGCTCGAGCGGGCAAAGACAGAAGCGCTAGGCGCCGGCTTCCCGTGGCAGAAGCGGCCTGACTGTGTCGCTGGGCTCTGCAAGGCAAGGGGCTGCGGCGCAGTGGCAGCGCGCCTGCGGTCGACGCGTCTGCCGCGGAGGTCGCGGGCTCAATTCCCGCCGGCCCCATCCTTGAGCTGTCTCGAGGTTTTCGGTTTCGGGGCTTAATGTCTCGGGGCGCAAGTGTCCGGGGCGCAAGGGCGCTGGGCGGCACAAGGGGCCCGGGCGGACTCTAGGCTCCGAGGTTTTGGGTTTTGGGCCTCAATGTCTCGGGCGCAAGGTGTGGGGCGCGGGGCACGGGGCGTTAGGCGGGGCAAGGGGGCCGGCAAGCGGGCGGGGCGGGGCGCTGGGGACTGCGAACCGCGCCGCGGCGCCGGGAGAAAGACGGCTCAAGTGGCCGACCGCGCGCGAGCGCGCAAGGCCAATTTGCCCCGTTTTATCAAGCGAAAGGCAAGCGCGGGACCATTTTTCGCCCTGATAGACCATTTCCGTAGACCATTTTATTCAAGCCAAGGCAGCCCGTAAGGAACCAGTATATCGGCAAGCCAAGGCAAGCCACACTGAGGGGCAATGGCCTTGAAGGAACCCATAGGCGCTTGAAGGGGGGTCTGAAAGAATCCCGAAAGGATTCAGCCGCTGGCGGCTCGCCCGCGCCTCGCCTCGCAGCCCCTTTTCCGGGCGCGCGGTTGAGGGGGAGGCCGGGCTAGGAGGGGTGGTGAGGTTAGCCGGAACCGGGCGCTGTTTTCGGTGCGAGCTTTTATCTGCGCGAAGAGCTATATGCGCCGCTTGCGCAAAGGGCGTGTTCCGCCAGGCCCCTTGCGTGGGCGAGAAAGCTTGTGTTACCTCCAGTTGACAAGTTGTGGAAGGGGCTTCGGACAGGCCAAAATGGAACGGTTTTCAAGGGGCCGCCTTCTGACTGCAAACCCCCTGAGGAGCGACCCTTATCACCGACCATGCCTTTGAGGGGCCTGTGTTGCCTGCGAGTTGACGCGTTAGGGCTTCGGAAAAGCCAAAATGGAACGGTTTTCAAGGGGCCGTTTTCTGACTGCAAACCCCCTTAGGAGTGACCCTTATCACCAACCATTCTTTTGAGGGGCCAGCAAAGCCTGCGTTACCTCCAAGTTGGCAAGCTGACAAAGGGCCCCGGGAAGGCAAACATGGAGCAATTTTCAAGGGGTCGTTTTCTGATTGCAAACCCCTTAGGAGTGGCCCTTATCACCGACCATTCTTTTGAGGGGCCAGCAAAGCCTGCGTTACCTCCAAGTTGGCAAGCTGAGAAAGAGCCCCGGGAAGGCGCAAATGGAGCAATTCTCAAGGGGCCGTTTTCTGACTGCGAACCCCCTTAGGAGTGACCCTTATCACCGACCATTCTTTCGAGGGGCCAGCAAAGCCTGTGTTACCTCCAAGTTGGCGAATTGAGAAAGAGGTTCGGGGAAGCCGAAAATGGAACGGTTTTCAAGGGGCCGCCGCTCCCCCACCCAGGGGGCTGAAAGATCCTGCGGGTTCCGAGCGGTCTGGCGGTTCGCCTCGCCTCGCTGCGCAGCCCCTTTCCGGCGCGCGGTTAGGGGGGGAGGCGGGCTAGGAGGTGCGAGGTTAGCCGGCCGCGGCGGTTTCGGGCGCGAGCTTTTCTACGCACGGAGGCTATATGCGCCGCTTACACAAAGGGTGTGTTCCGCCAGGCCCCTTGCGCGGGCGCCGCATCGCCTCCGCCGAAAAGCCCATGCCTGAAATTCGCGGGGGGGAGGCGGGCTAGAAGGTCTTGGGTTAGCCTTATGACCGACCATGCTTTTGAGGGGCCAGCAAAGCCTGTGTTGCCTGCGAGTTGACGCGTTAAGGCTTCGGAAAGGCCAAAATGGAACGGTTTTCAAGGGGCCGTTTTCTGACTGCAAACCCCCTTATGAGTGACCCTTATCACCGACCATTCTTTTGAGGGGCCAGCAAAGCCTGCGTTACCTCCAAGTTGCAAGCTGAGAAAGGGCCCCGGGAAGGCAAAAATGGAGCAATTCTCAAGGGCCGTTTTCTGACTGTGAACCCCCTTAAAAGTGACCCTTATCACCGACCATTCTTTTGAGGGGCCAGCAAAGCCTGTGTTACCTCCAAGTTGGCGAATTGAGAAAGAGGTTCGGGGAAGCGGTTTTCAAGGGGCCGCCGCTCCCCCGCCCAGATCTCGTAGGTTTTTGAGGGTCTGAGGAACCTGACGGGCGTCATGAGGAACCTGACAGGCATCCGCGCCTCGCCACGCAGCACGGAAAAGACCCCTGTCCGCAACGTAGGGGGGGGGAAACGGAACGGGGGGGCGAGGTGAAGGGAGGAGGGGGGTTAGGGGGGAGGGGGGCTGAGGGGGGCGGTAAGGGGGAGGGGGGGGGGGAGGGGGGGGGCAGGGGGGCGGACGAGGGCGAAGAGAGCGGGCTAGGAAGGTGAGGGTTAGTGCCGCGCCGCGTTTCGGCGCGCGAGCTTTTCTACCCGGAGGCTATATGCGCCGCTTGCCAAAGGCGTGTTCCGCCAGGCCCCTTGCGGGGCGCCATATCTTCTCCGCCGTAAAGCCCGTGCCTGAAAATTCGCGGGGGGAGGCCGGCTGAATATCTTTAGGTTTAGGCCGCCAGCGGCCGTTGCCTTAATCCACCGACCATTCTTTCGAAGGGCCAGCAAAGCTTGCGTACTCCTCCAGTTGACAAGTGTGGTAGGGGCTTCGGAACCCAGCCAGGAAACGGCGTTTTCAAGGGGCCGCCTTCTGACTGCAAACCCCCTGAGGAGCGACCCTTATCACCGACCATGCTTTTGAGGGGCCAGCAAAGCCTGTGTCGCCTGCGAGTTGACGCGTTAGCCGAGAGTTTTTTCTCGTTCGAGTTTGGCTTTTAGCGGCGATCTGCGCCCTGGCGGTGGTTGACGTCCCCGGGGACGGCAACTGCCTCTTCCACGCCCTCGCGACGCAGGACGAAGAGGGCTGCTGCGGGGAGGAGCTGCGAGCAGAGTTGGCGGACTTTCTCGAGAGCGAGGCCTTCGGCCAGCACGGCTTCGAAGAAGTTTGGCTAGAGGAGGCCGAGCACCTGCGAGGGCCTGCGGCGGAGTGCTGGGGCGGAGCCGTGGCCATCTCGGCTTATTCCTTGCTTCGACAGCGGCGGGTCTTTGCCCACGTCAAGGTCGCGGGCTCCGACGTCGTGAAGGTCCAGGACAGCTCCCACGCTCTCGTCGACGCCGACGCGCCGGTCGCCCACCTTCTCTACAACGGAGTAGACCACTACAGCGCCTTGATCGAGGCCGAGCTCTCCAACGCGATAGCCCCGGGCTGGCCGCAGCCGCCGCCGCCGCGCTACTTTGCCCCGGCGATCGCACAAGCTGCCCGCGGCCTGAGCGGGCCGACTTGGGAACTCCTGGCCGCGAAGTCGACCCCTTGCCCTCGGCGCGCAAGCGAACACAGTCCTCATGGGCTGAGCCAATCATTGCTCGTGGTTCCAGCTTTCTCTTGAAGTTTCTTGCCAAACAGCGTGTTTTCTGCGCCGGAACCTCCTGCCAGTAGTCATACGCCGGTCTCATGGGCTGAGCCAAGGATTGCGTGGGCAAACCCAATGATTGAAAGGCTTGCTTTTGAAATGGTGCGAAGGAACCAGTAGTCATATGCTCTGCGTAGACAGCGGCCGCCGTGGCCCCCACTTGGCCGCACGCCGCCGCGGCCCGCCCAGCCCGCTCCGGCAAAGTCCCGGCGCCGCCTCAACGCCGGCGCCGGAGCTGCAGGACGATGCGATGGAGGAAGTCAGCAAAGCCTTCGTGATCCCCGCGGCCCAGACTTCCCACCCCTTCCGCCCCCTAGAGGACGCGCTGAAGCTCCGGTTCCAGCCGACGCTCCCGCCGGCCCCGTGCGTTCTGCGCCTTTGACGGCTGCGGATGGGAGGCGGCCAACGGCCTGGAAGCGGACCTTGCCAAGCACCTTGAGGCGGAGCACGCAGAACACCTGGAGTCCGCCGCCGCTTGCTTTCCTGGGCCGACGCGCTGCTGAGCGTTTACAACGAGGCCGTCGCCCGCTGGCGGGGTGCTCCTTGGACCGCGCTGCGCTCCTTCGCCGAGGCGACTGCGGAGGACAGCGCGGGGGCTCTGGTTTGCTTCTGCTGCGCCTGCGTCCACACCCGCGCGGCGGAGCTTGAGGGGCAGAGCGAGATCCAATGGCGGCGGCCACTGAGTCGCAAGCCGACGGGGGAGCACCTCTTCTTTGGGAAGCGGCGCGAGCTCTCAGCCTGGAGCGCTTTCTGGAGAAATACGACCAGCTCGACAGTTGTCTGACTCTGAGAGTTTCGGCTCCTGGAAGTTGCGGCTGCGTGGCCCTGGCGGCGCAGAGCTGCTGTGCTGCCCGGAGGACCACCGCTGCCGCGCGGTCCCAGGACACGTTGAGGAAGGCGTCCTCTGCGAGCACTGCGAGCTGCCAGTTTGCGGCGGCTGCCTCGACCACCTTGCCCGCGCGCAGTTGCTGGCAAACGACATGTGGACTGGCTACGCCCCGGAGCGGATCTACGCGGAGGAGGCGACTGCGATGGAGCTGATCTGCGCCTCGCCCTGCGTCACGACGCTGATTTGCATGTCTATGGAGGCACGGTTCCGCAGCGAGGCTTGCGCCCTAGACGAGACGGCTCATATGGCCCGGCATCGCTTCGGGCTCGGTGGATGAGGAGGGAGTTCGCCTTAGAGCCGCGCCCTCCTGCCGACGGGGTTCCGCCCGAGGTGTTGAAAGTCGTGGTCCAGGCGCGGGCGACGCCGCCGCCGCCGGCGCGACCTTTGCCGCGCAGCGGGCGCGGGCCGTGGTCGCGGAAGGCTGCGCTGGACAAGTTAGAGGTCAGGGCCGGCAACCAGCTTCTGGACCAGTTCCAGCCCCTCTACTTCGCCGTCGCCTTTTGCTTCTGCTTTCCTTGCGGGACTGCCTGCCCGGACGTCCGAAACACCGTGGCCCAAGAAGACGACGACAGCCGCCGGAGCAGGCGTGAGAGGCGCCGGGCTCGCCGCTGAAGCCGGGAGTTTTGCTTCGGCGCCTTTTTTTTGCCCCTTGCCCCTCGCACGCCAGGAGCCAGAGCGGCGCGCCCGAGGTGAACATTCACGCCTGGGCCGCCGCCACGCAGCGGCGCGTGGAGGCGCAGTTCCGGCGCGACTGGACCTTCGGGTTTGCGGTCTGGAACTACTTGTTCCGGACCGCGGTCAACTTGCAGAAGAACGCTTACATGTTCTCCGCGCCCAGCGCCGACGGCGGCAGCTACCAGTCCTTGAAGCCCGAGGACATCGTCGCGGGCGTCCGGGAGATCACGTCCCGCCTGCGGGCAACCTACACGGACATCAACGGCGAGGAGAAGCCCGTCCAAGGGGACTTGACCAAGCTGCGCTTTGCAAACCTGAAGCCCGCCACCCGCAAGATCCTGGCGAACGTCGAGGCCCGGGCCAAGAACATCCCCGGGACCCACGAGGTGCGCAAGACCATGCGCCTCCAGACCCACGCTTATCGCGTCTGTTTGGGGACCTCGATCTTCTTGACTTTCTCGCCTTCGGAGCGAGACACCGCCCTGATGCTGCGCCTGGCGCGTGTGCGAGAAGAGGATCCGGCGCTACTGCGGGATGGCGCGAAGAAGTTCCAGGCCCGCGGCGCGCCGGCGCTGGACGAAGAGTTCTGCCGGCTGAGCCCCGAGGCCTTGGCGGAGAACCTGCCGAACTACGAGGACAGGCGCGCGCTGCTGGCCAGGGACCCGCTGGCTTGTGCGGAGGGCTTCAGGACTTTCGGCGCAAAGGGGGGGGGGGAGAAACCGCGTTGCTTCGACTTCCCGCCCCACGCTGGTGCTCCTGACGCTGCGCCACCTCTGGGGGGTCAGGTTCTGCCCGCGCTGCCCGAACTGCGCGACTTCGGGGCAGCCTTGCAGCGAAGCGTTCGGGAGCAACGCCGTGGCCGGCGGCGGCGTGCTGGGCAGAGTTGACGCGGCGTTTGGCTCCATCGAGTGTCAAAAGAGCGGAGCCCTCCGCGCCCACACGCAAGTGTTCGTCCAGCGCCGCCATCAGCGCGGGTCGCTGGCCGGCCTCCTTGACTTGGGTAAGCCCGAGCTCCGAACCTTGCTGCAAAGGTATGCTTCCTACACTGCCCACGTCCGGCGCTCCGTCTACTGCGACCTGCACGGCTGGGAGCGCGATCGGGCCGCTGCGGAGGAGGAGTGGCCGGAGTACAAGGACTGCGCCTTGATGTTGAGCCGGCCCGAGGAGTATACTTGGCGGAGGACGTGGAGCAGCTGCAGCAGCGCAAGCAACATCATGCGCATCTCCCTGCCGGCCCAGGCGGCGAGCGGCGGCCCCTACCATCACGCTCCAAAGCTGTATAAAGGACAGCTGCGGCAACAAACGAGAGCTTCGTGTAGTCGGCGATGTCGTTTGTAGCCGCAGCTGTCGTTTGTAGCAGCATATGTCGTGACCTATACATACACTGGGTCTTTGGTTATTACATGGAGAAGAAAGAAGTGCTTGAACGCAAACGACACAATAGCAAATGCAAACGACAGCTGTGACATATGCCGTTTGCGTATCACGTCCCACGTTGCTGCGCGTGCCACGCGTTCTTTAGAAAAAAACGCTTCTAGACGCAGACGACATGTGTCGGACATGTCGTTTGCGCCGGGCGTGCTATTGCGCAGCACATCCGGCACAACCGACACGCCCAGCGCTACAAACGACACGTCCGACACCATGCCGTTTGCGCGCACGTAGTCTGCAACGATCGGACATGTCGTTTGCGTCGGACATGCGTGAGGAGGAAGCAGCCTAAAGTGTCATGGATTGCGCCTGCAGAAGGCAATTGCATGTGGTAGCGGAGCAAGTTCCTAGATCGAGCGAATTACAATGACGCTTGCTGCGCAAACGACATCTCCAACGCAAACGACATCGCCAACATATGTCGTTTGCGTGCAAAGTTTCCAGCATGCACCCCGACACAGATCCTTTATTCAAGGGGCTCTAAACTAGTGCCCTCACAGATGGGTACCCGCGTCAGCTGCCATGCCATCGGCATATATGATGGCTTACCAGTCCCTTGCTGGCCGGCCGCCGAGTGAAGAAATTGATCGGTGCACTTTGCTACCTTCTGGAGAAGCGCCCAACCCTTTCAAGCCAAGACACACAAATACACACACACACACACACGTGAAACTCGCGAATCACCCTTCACACCAAATACTTTTCGTTTTGGCTTGGGTCCAATTGTTAACGGTTTTGTGGCCTGCTGCTTTCAGGGTTTGCCAAAAAATGTCCCGTGAAAAAGGGTTCCCACAAAAGAAGACGAAGCCTGGAGCCTGGAACTTCCCTCACATTTGTTCCCTCAAGGTTTCTCCTTGCACTCTGTGAGCACGTTTGTTTGACTGTTTTTTTGTTTGTTTGCATGTTGCCTTCTCGGCTGGAGGTGCGCAGGGTTTCACAAAGGACCAGCTAAAAGGATCGACTAACTAATGGGAACCCCAGATTGATAAACCTCTGGTTGATGAATAGGGGGACGCCCCTTTTTAGCGCGGGTTCATCACTTTTGGAGGGAACACACCCCTAGACAGCTCTATTAATTCGGGTTCAACAATAGCAAGCGTGAGCTCAAACAAACCCCTTTCTTTGCGCAAAGGGTTGGCAGCAATCCGCTCTGCGACTGCCGTCGGCGCGCTGGCAGCTTTTCCAGGACCCCGCTACCAGAGTTCCGCATGCCGTTTCGACTCGCGAAATCTCTGGGATAAGTTCAAGAGGACACGCGCAAATGCACGATCCAGCACACTGGCTGAGTGACATTGTTTTGCGACCGCTTTGAGGGCGCCCAAGAACGACTCATCTTGAAAGCAAGACAGCTGTCTTGGATTAAGCTTGGTTTCGTGAACTGAGAGCGCTATGTGCTCTAGGTAGTGGTGTTTTGGTCGCATTCGCCAGCGCCTCACTTCGGCCTCCCGATACATTTGCGCCATGCCTTGCCAGTGGAGTAGGCGTTCCATGATGCAGTCATGCACTTCCTGGGCAGCATCATTGGTCAGGATGATGTCCGACTGGTCCATCACTTGAATCGCCTTTTGAAGGGCCCATATGCAACAAGCGCCTCCTTGCAGAGCTTTTTCCTGGGCGATACAAAGGCTTAGTTTTGAAGGTGGGGGTAATTTTTCGCTTTCGCAAACCCTGATAGCCCTTGGTTTGCCAAAAGGAGCAACGTTTAAACAATGGTCCCCCCAACCCCCCCACTGAATGGAACCCAGCCACCCCGCTTTGCTCAGCAAATGAGATAGCTTTGGAGGTCATGAACCACAGAATCACTTTCACGTGCGAAGCCTTCCATGCACTCCCGAGTTCAGGAAACCCTTTCTTCAGGTTCACGTTGGCCTCTGTGAAGGCGAGCTTGCGCACAGAAATCCTTTCTAGGCACACACGTGCTCCCAAACTTGCAAGTGTTTCGGCAAAGCCCAAAGTGATTTTTTTTAGTGTTAGGCACAAACAAAGAGTAATACCTTGAGAGACGAACGCAAGGAAAGGATAATGCCCAGACAGGTCGCCTGGCAGTCTTGAAGGCCAAGCGCATTTCAAAGCTAAACCTTCGAAGTTGCACGTCTACCGGTTCACCCGCATCACCCAGCTTGCCGAAGTCCAGAAAATCTGCTAGAAGGCTTCCTACTAGGTCTTTGGCCAAACCCAGATACACCACGTGCATCCAATCATGAAAGCACGCCTTCACAGTCCAGCCATCCATGGCTACCCAAGGGGATACAACCCGGGTCGTGTTCATGTAGGTAGTGTGCGATATGTGTGTCAAGTGACGCGGGCAATCATCTCGGAAGTTCTGGTAGTTCATGTTTTTGTCACTCTTGGGGGTAGGCCTTTGCGCCATGCAGCTTTCACATATGGAAGTGCAGTTGTACCACCGATCGAACAGGTTGGCTTCCACCCTGGCCTTGCCATCAAAACGAGAGCAGAAGAAGGCAGCCCTTGCGTGCAGGGTAGGTGACACAATATTTACAGCATGACGCAAAGCAAGTAAAAACCCAACATAACCCAACAAGCCAAAGCATTCTGTGTTTCGAACTGAGTGGCCTCCACCCACCAGCAAGGGGTTGGCCCCGCAAAGAGTGCCGAAGAGATTTGGGGTCGAACGGTTTGTCGTGGAAGCCAGTCATTGGAAAGGACCCTCGCGCCGCGCACTTCATCGACCAGGCCAGGAGCTCGGCCACTTGGCGATGCACATCGTTCTTTACCTTGCTCGGGGAGTGACAGGCGAATTCAAAGAAACTTGTTCACATGTGCTGGCACGGTTCCTTCGCAGTTCGCATACTCTCGTGCGAAAGAATGACGCAGGGGAACTTCACGTCCCAGACCTCAACTGACTTTGACTTGTCGTTAATGGTCAACAGCCAACTTCTATTTCAATCAGGCAGCATTTCCAGTTGACAACACTGAAGAAATGGACCACACCAGGAATTCGGTGTTCTTGAAGAACTCTGCACCGTCAACATGGACGGAACAGGGCACCACACCTAGGAGGTCTTGGCCATACTGTGGTTGATGGGGTTGTTGGGTTTGACTGGTGGGTGAGAAGGTTGTCTGGAGGGGGGTGAGGAGATGTGGTTGATGGGGTTGTCAGGTTTGACTGCGGGGGTGATAAGGTTGGCAGGTTGATGGAGTGTTACGAGCCAGTTTTTTCAACCAGTTGAGGAGATGGCGTGCAGAGTAGCGCGTGGGATGGAAGGGTAAAACCAACAATGCTACAGAATAGTACTACTTCAACAATGTTTCACGGGGTTGGTTGATGGGTGAATCAGAACCGTGTTGGAGGGTGGAATCAGCCATGCTTTGGGGAGCAGTACTCCAACAAGGTCTCAGCAGGGTTTCAACTCATTCTAGTCTAGCAGCAACCCATGTCGACGCTCTCGTCGGAAAAGGCAGGGTGATCACGCCACCCATCAAATTGCCGGACATGTGTCCAGAATGACGCAATAGCCGTGTTGCTCATGTCTCCGAGCATTGATTTCGCAAACTCGCCGAGGCCAACATGTAACACCGCTTTTGAGAAACGTTGAAGAGGAACAAACAACGACAGCCGTGTGAGAAGGCCTGCTCCGGCCCCGCGTGCTCCAAAGCATGCAGGATCTCGTGCGGCATAAGAGTAGGAATCGACACCGTGTCGGTTTCGAGCTTGTCGCTGACCTGAGTCACTCGACTTTCAACATTCGGGGTCATTGAAAATACATAAGGCCCCAGCAAGAAGCTCCATATCAACGTGGTAAACCTCTAGGTGGCGGTCATACAAATTGTGCAACCACCGATGCATGTCGCGCTCTTCGTTGGAGCGACGCTTGCCCCAGCATCCCAGTGAGGCAAAAGCCTTCACTGCCTCCGGGAGCTCACCGTCCTGAGCCTGCGCCTGAGCCACAGAGACTAGCGTGCTGACGTTGGCCTTGCCAGTTCCAATCATACCTGATCACAGCAACGCTTGATGCGCTTTGCTTTGCAAAGGTTTGTCAGCTTTGATGTACAGCCGTGTTGCGAATGAACTGCTCGGCTTGGTGGCTATGAGAAGAAGTCTCCAGGCGTTGTCGCCTGACACGGTTCTGCATTGAATTGCTCGCGCGGCTGAGGTTGGGACCTTGCCTGGTCGGCTGCGGAGGCAAGCCTGCGTTGCTCGAAACAAGACTGTGGTTTGGCATACACAAAATATCATAAAAAACAAAAAACAAACAACAAAAACCCATAAAATCAAAGACCACTAAAAAAACAACAAAAAAAAGTACAAAGAATAAACAAAACCAATAACAAAAAAAACACAACACTAAAACACAAAAGTAAACAAAAAAAAACAAAAAAAAAAAAAAAAAAAAAACACAAAAACAAACAACAAAACAAACCCAACCACAACATAAAAAAACAAAAAAAAAAAAAAAATCAAAATAAAAAAAAACAAAAAATAAAACTCAAAATAAAAAACAAAAAACAAAAAACAAAAAAACAAAAAAACCAAATGAAAAAAACAATAAAAAAGATAAACAATAAAAAAAAAATAGATCAACACTAATAAAACAATCAATCCTAAACAAAAACCCAACACCCCCCCGCACCAAACCCCCCCCCAACCCGCCCCCACCTCCCCCCCCCCCCCCCCCCCCCCCCCCCCCCCCCCTCCCCCTGTCCCCCCCCCTCCCCCCTCCCCCCCGTATAGTGGCGCGCGTGTCTGACAGAGGTCTGGCGCAAAGAGCTGACGTGTTTTACCGCATCGCAGATTCGTCTCATGACATCAAAGATTTGTCCTCTGATGTAAAGACTAAACCCCAACCCCAGAGCGCGTTCATTGCATGCCCCTACTGGATCTCCAGTTCGCAATGAGCAGCTGGTCAGGCCGACGGCGGCGTCTCCTTTGAGGCGCTGCTCTTCGCCGCTGCGCGCTTGCTCTTGGCGCCCGCCTTCTTCTTCTTCGAAAGGCCGCTGAGCAATCCGCGGGCCGCTGCCTGGAGTGTAAGGGGTGATTTTGAAGGGTGGTTTTTGAGAGGTGATTTTGAGGGGTGAGTTTGAGGGGTGGTTTTGAGTAATGATTTTGACCCCTCAAAAAGAGGTGATTTTGAGGGGTGATTTTGAGGGGTGGTTCTGAGAGGTGATTCTGAGAGGTGATTCTGAGGGGTGATTTTGAGGGGTGGTTTTGAGAGGTGATTTTGAGGGGTGGTGTTGACCCCTCCAAAAGTTTGAGGGGTGATTTTGAGGCGCGATTTTGACCCCTCAAAAAGGGGTGATTTTGAGATGTGATTTGGAGGGGGTGATGTTGAGGGGTGATTTTCAGGGGTGGTTTTTTGAAGCCCAATGCGTCAAATTACCCAAACATGTTGATCTTGGATTTGCCGAGTTTCCCAAAAACACATGGACACCAAAAGGGATTGGTTGGGGGCAGCGGACACAGCTTAGGGGGTGAACCAGGGGTGGGAGGGAACCAGTCTGTTGAGACATTTGAGGCTGCGCAAGAGCTTGCAACCTTTCCAAATTTCCAGCGCGATTTCTGGACAGCTTGCAAACCAGCATCCACCTGTCTGGGTTTGAACGGGTCCTTTGCACAAAGGTCGCTGCGCAAGAAATCAAACTGGTTTTGGATTGCCAGGGGCTTGCTTGGAACAAGGACGGAGAACACCAAACGATCATCGTTCCCAATCACTTGCAAACTCAAATCCAGAAAATCCAGTATCTTCATTGATAAGGAGGTCAATGATTAACGAAAGGGCCTGAGCTTTGGTGAACCACTCCATCTTCGCATTAGCGATGGACAGCATTTTGGTGTACTTGTCCTCCTCCGAGACGCCACGGCTCACGAGATCCTGAAGGTTCCCGTATATGGTTTCCATCTTTGAAGAAGTTGTCATCAACTGTTCCTGCAGAGCATCCCCGTACTGGACGTTGCGGAGTGATAAAGACATTTTCCTTGCCTCACTGGCGATGCGTAGGATCTCAGCCATGGCCTCTTCGGCTTTCCTCGTCACATCAGGCCCCTCAACTACTTCCCGGATATGATTGAAATTGGGGAACCCAACAATGGCAGTGGCTTTTTGGATGACGTGAAACAAATACTAAGGCTTCATCAAAGAGACCCGCAACAAACGATGACAGACACGCTCAGTTTTGAATAAGACCATCCAATTTTGCAAGCCCCTTCCAGAGCCCTTGTGGGATAGAGACACATTGGATTTCTTCGCTTTCTCTTTAATCAACTCGCTCTCACACTCTAGGACGCATTTAGTTTGGGTATTCAAAGGGAAGCTTAATTCAATTCAGGATTCTCCTTCACCAAAGTGGGCCCCACCTCCTCTGCCTTTTCCACCTTCGCAGGTTTGGGCGGTTTTGTTTTTGTCACGTTTCCAGAAGAGACCGCTTCCGCGAAAGCCTTGGGGTCAGCCACGCCCATCTCAGGAATGATGCCTGCAGCAAGCACGCCGCCTTCGCCGGTGAGCGCGGAGACAAGGCCCGCGTCCGGGTTGTTGACAGTTCCTTTCAGGGACATCTTCTCGCCGGTGAGATCGTCCTTCGTGAACTGCTTGCCTGCCCCCACGAAATAGTAAATCTCCTTACAAGGCGGCTTTTTGTCAAGCTCATAGTTTTAAACACTCACGTTGTCTCCCTTCCATATGGACAAGTAGCCCAACTAATCAAAACATTGACGAAACACGCTTTGCAATTGAGTCTTGGTCGGTCGCCCTAGCAGTCCTCCAAGTCCTTTGGAAAGTCTTCGTCCCACTGCCAAAGCCCTTTTGACTTCAAAAGGCTCATCAGCTTTTCAGCCTTATGCGCTGGGTAGCGCTGCAGGTTCTCCCTCTCCTTTAGGCCTGTTCTCTTTGAGCGAGCTCTCGAAACTGTTTCCACCCGGCGTTCCACCATCAGCGCCACCCTTAGAGCAAATGTCCAAAGCCGTTTTTGGACTGCGGTTGCATTAGCCGTTTAAATGGTGCCTTGAAGCAGCTAAGGAAAAGGCTCATCAAGGCTCTTGTTGTTCTCCAACCACCAATTGAACACGTCGACCTTGTCCTTCTTGACGTATTCGCTCAATGCAACTGGAAACTTTTTTCGGTCATTGCATTGACGAGCAAAGGCATCCCATTCTCGCTTGTGTGTAGTGCCTTGGATGAGAGGCCCAGAATCCAATGTTTTCACATGCCACTTTTGCAACCCTCACTCAAACACGCAGTTCCCTGAAAAAGGACCGTTGGGGGCGGGGCAAGCTAAAATCGATAAGGGCTTCCTAAAAGGGGGGGGGCAGTTGGCAGTTGGCTAAGATTGGCGGCCAAGAAGGTGGTTGGCTATATGTGGAAAGCTGAATTCTCATAAGGGTTCCCAACAAAAGCCGCTGGTAGTTTGCTAGATGTGTGGGGTTTCCTAAAACCTAGAAGGGCCTTTGGTGGTTTGCAAGGTGTCTTGATGTTTTTTTGGGGGTACAAAGACAAACGAAACCCTGGCCTTTCTGCAAGCAGGAGTTGGTTGAACTAGTTGCTTGGCCGGTTACAAAGTTAACACAAGGTAGTGCAAAACACCCACCCTAGACGGTTGGGGTTTGCAAAAAATTGAGAAAACAGATGCTTGGTTTTGCAGCCAAAGCTGCTGTTCGCACGTGCTTTCGCAGCCCCGGCCGCTAGGGCGGCCGCGTCCTTGAGCTCCCCCCCTGGGCCACGGGGTGAAGGGGGAGAGCTGTTGGAAAATTCCACAATCTGCTGCTGCTTTTCCGCTGCTGGCTTCTTGTTTTTTTCCGCTTTGTTCTCCTCCTCGCTGTCTTCACCGAAATCGATGGGAGTCCCGCCTCCCTGGGTGGTATCGCTGCTGCTGGCTACACTGCATGCCTCGTCGCTGTTTTCTTCTGCTGCCGGCTCCTCTGCTGCCGGCTCCTCTGCTGCCGGCTCCTCTGCTGCCGACTCCTCTGCTGCCGACTCCTCTGCTGCCGACTCCTCGGAGTCTGACTCCTCCGCTGCCGACTCCTCCGTGGCCGACTCCTCCGCTGCCGACTCCTCCACAACCGAATCCTCTGCTGCTGGCTCCTCTGATGCTGCTGCTTTTGCTGGTTCGACCGCAGGGATTTTTTCTAGGCTTTCTAAGAGCGCATCAATGTCGCTCAGGTTATCTGTCGCGTCATCATCATTCTCCTTCTCTTCGTCCTCCTCATCATCTCGCGCAACCATTTCCTTGTAAGAGTCTTCCTCCTCCTCCTCCTTCTTCTCATTCTTCTTCTTCTTGTCCTCAGGCTCTTTCTGCCCCTTCTGCTGCTCCTCATTGCTGCCTTTGCTGCGCTGACCCTCAACCTCCGCGGCCTTGCGCTTCCTGCCGCCTTGCTGGCTCACAGCTTCCTGACCCTTACGCTCTGCTGCGCTGCCTCGTCGCTTCTTTGCAGCCGTCTCCTCGCGCTTCTGCTTCTCCTCGTGCTTTCGCTTCTCCTCCTGCTTCTGCTTCGCCTCGCGCTTCTGCTTCTCTTCCTGCTTCTGCTTCTCCTGCGTCTGCTTCTCCTGCGTCTGCTTCTCGCGCTTCTGCGTTTCCTCGCGCTTTTCCTCGCGCTTCTGCTTCTGCTTCTCTTCCTGCACTTGCTTCTCCTCCTGCTCCGGCTTCTCCTCTCGCTTCTGCTTCTCCTCCTGCTTTGGCTTCTCCACTCGCTTCGGCTTCTCCTCAGTCTTCTGCTTCTCCTCGCGCTTCTGCTTCTCCTCCTTCTTCTCCTCGCGCTTCTGCTTCTCCTCCTGCTTTGGCTTCTCCTCCTGCTTTGGCTTCTCCTCTGGCTTCGGCTTCTCCTCCGTCTTCTTCTTCTCCTCTCGCTTCGGCTTCTCCTCCGTCTTGCGCTTCTCCTCCTGCTTTTGCTTCTCCTCGCGCTTCTGCTTCTCCTCGCGCTTCTGCTTCTCCTCCTGCTTTTGCTTCTCCTCGCGCTTCTGCTTCTCCTCGCGCTTCTGCATTTCCTTCTCGTCCTGCTTCGGCTTCTCCTCTCGCTTCGGCTTCTCCTCGCGCTTCTGCTTCTCTTCCTGCTTCGGCTTCTCCTCTCGCTTCGGCTTCTCCTCCGTCTTCTGCTTCTCCTCGCGCTTCTCATCTCGCTTCGGCTTCTCCTCCGTCTTTTTCTTCTCCTCGTGGTTTTGCTTTTGCTGCTTCTCCTTACGCTGCTGCTCTTTGTCTTTGCTGTCCTTCTCCACTGCCAGACGCTTGCTGCCGCGCTGCTCCTGCTGAGTTTTTCCGGCCTGCTGCATCGCCTTTTCCGGCTGCTGCTTCTCCTTGCTCCGGAATGTCCCGCTGCTGCTGCCGCTTTGGCTTGAAGACCAGCCCAGCTGAGGCGACTTCATGCCGGGTTTGGTCGGAGGGGTTTCGTAGACAAAGTCAGGCTTCTTGTAGGTGACCCGCTTTGCGGGTTTCGGAGGCTGCAGGGTGGAACGCAAGGCTGATGCACGGTCACCTTTTGTCATGGGGCAATCCATACACAGATTGCTACTGCAAGAAAGCAAAATGCTACGGGACACATGCTTCTCTCACGCACTTGCGATTCCATGGTTTGCGTACCCCAGCCACGGTTTGCATACCCCAGCCACGATTTGTAGAGCCCAGCCACGATTTGTAGAGCCCAGCCACGATTTGCATACCCCAGCCACGATTTGTAGAGCCCAGCCACGGTTTGTAGAGCGCAGCCGCGATTTGTAGAGCCCAGCCACGATTTGCATATCCCAGCCACGATTTGTAGAGCCCAGCCACGGTTTGTAGAGCGCAGCCGCGATTTGTAGAGCCCAGCCACAATTTGCATACCCCAGCCACGATTTGCAGAGCCCAGCCCAGCCACACTTTGCATACCCCAGCCACGATTTGTAGAGCTCAGCCACGATTTGTAGAGCGCAGCCACGATTTGTAGAGCGCAGCCACGATTTGTAGGAATGCCATGCTTTGGGAATGACCCCCTGCAAATCAATCGTTGTACTAGAAAGTTTCATGCGAAAGCAACCCCAACACATGTAATCAAGGCTAAAAATAAGGGACCTACAAATCGCGGCTGTTCTCGCCAAATCGCGGCTGTTTCTCGCCAAATCGCGGCTGCGAAAAAACCCATTCACATTTGTTTTTTCCGTTTCCCACCAAAACAAATCTGTCAGAAGAGAACCAGGCAATTCAGAGGGCACACGTACCCGATAGCCCAAACCGGGCCTGGCTTGGCTGGCTTCACCGCGTGCTTCAGCACCAGGCGTGGCATCTTGCAGCTTGCCTGCCGCAGGCTGGCGGGCGCTCTCTTGAAGCAGTTTCAGGGTACTGACATGCTGGGTTTCTCTGAAATGAAAGCAACCTCAGCTTGACGTCTTTTTCGACAACCCGTATGTCCTTTATACAAGCTCTTTGAATTGGCAAGGGCCAACATGTATTCACACAGGCCTCTCAGAAACCTAAGATTAGCGATGGCCAAACGTCTTGCACGCATCAGCCACCTTCTTGGGACGCCCTGTCATCTATGATGTCAGGTACTCAAAAACAGGCCCGAGGTTTGCTGCTTTCAGCCAGTACCTAAAACTACCAGCACTATTGTCCGGAGCAGTCGATGACTCCTTGCTTGCCATCCGCAGGAATCTTCGGGCATCAGCTACAACCTCCTTCTTGTGCCGGGATCTCAAGCGTGCCAGGGCACGCCCAAACCTTAGGGGGCAAAGCCAGTGTGAAAGAAAACATGCATCAAAGAGACCCATAGATTATCCTGGTTGCGCTGAGGGGGCTTGTTGACCCAAAGCTTCAACAAGACCAATGACTGGCATAAGCTCTTTTATCCTTCAAAAGAGCAACTCACTGGTGGTTAGAAATTATACTTTTAAACCCTCCTTTTTCCAACGTTGGACAACTTACTCCACAGGTGTCCCAAACCAAATCTTTTGGGGCTTGCAACAACAAACAAGACCCTTGTTTCCTGCACACTTGCCCTTGTCCTCAACGAGCGCAACAAGGTTTTCCTTGACCTTGCAGGTCTAGCCTAGCTGTTTGTAAACAAATGATTTGCTAAACCGCGCAGCTCCTCTAGAAGTCGAAAAGGGCTTTCATCAGACAAGCTTTGAAAACATATTCGTGACAGTTGCCTGGCAAATGGTAAGAATATCCGCTCAAGCGCTCAGCACTGCACACGCGCCGTTGCTGTTTGGGGCCGATGATTGTTTTATTACACAGCCCTTTCAAATCCTTTCAACTTGGCAAACTTGCGGTCTCCCCAATCAGGGCCCACTTTATGCTGGGTAAGCCCGGGGTATGTGTGTATGTATATGTTTGTACTGGTGTACACAAATATATATATATATATACACATGTATATATATCTATGTATTCATCAATATGGGTATGTGTCACAATTATGAAACAAGTTTGTCTTAGTTAGGTTTTTGTCCCCTCCGTGAAAACAGCTGAAAGGGGTACCCGTAACTGGTGACCTTACCAGGCAAGAGACTGCACTGTGTAGGCCTGGCTGCCCTTGAGGAACTTGGAGCCCTTGATTCGCAACCTTCCAGAGGAATCCGTGTACTTTTCTACAAGGTCCACACGCGGTTTGCGAGTAATCTTTGCAGGCTTGAAGTCAACAATGCCAGAAATGATCTCTTTGTTGCTGTAAAGCCAGGTGCCTTTCTCAGTGGGAGCAGCAAAGTCCCCCATCCGAATGTGCTGCCTGAAAACTCGTACGAGTTTAAAGATCTTTTGCATCACTGGCATTGCCTCAAGTAATGACCCCCTGGGCTGCTCAAGTACCCAGAAAATCCCGCGAGCCGACGCAATGAGAAGGAGGATGGCGCAACGTGCTACGAGCACATTGGCTGCAGCCACTGAAGGAGCATCGCGGTTTCCTTCCGGTCGTAGTTTTGATCGGCCTGTGGATGACCGCGACCTCAAAGTTGACACCCCTTTCGAAAACAATTCCCACCCCTGTGAACCCACACTCATTTCAGTTTGCTTTGCTTCTTTCTCGTTACTTATCAGACCAACTTCGTCAGACAGAGTCTCTTGAAACACACCCACGTTGTAAAACATAATTTCAAGAGATAGCCTTTTGGCGGTTGGGCGTGGGCCAAAGATTTCCTTCGTGTTTGGGGGGGGGAGCTTGCAAAAAACATAAGTGGGAGCCAAACAGAAGAGCTTCTGCATTTTCAGACTAGACTCAGACCCAATGTGACAAGTGGAAATGCACCCTTGTAAGACATAAGACTTATTCCAAGACTTGAGCCAGCCATTGTTTGATCCCTGCATCATTCATTCGTATTGAAAAACAATGTAGAGACAGGAATACCCCAGCCGGGAGTCGAACCCGGTATCTTTACCCTGTGTACTGTAGCTTCCCACGGCCACAGCAGCAACGCCCTTTCCGATAGGCCACTGGGGCAGATGCTCATTGATGAAGCGTATTTGAATTGGCCACTCAAGCTGGGAAATGCTTTTGAGGGTCAAAGCGCCCTTCTTCAAAGGGTCAAGGCGCCTCAAGAAGGCCTGATAGTACATGGGTGGCTTCTGACTAAATCCCGTTTTCAGGCCAGAACCCTTTCAAGTAACTAGGAGTTCCCCGTAGCTAAACAAAGCGGTTTGAGACGACATGCCAATCAGAAATATCATTGACGCATTGTCTCATGTGAAGCAAGGAAAAGGTCAGCTTGGTTATGGGAAAAAGTCTCAAAGATGAAGGGTTTGGCCCAAACAAGAACTCAGGCTTGACAAGGGCTTTTTTCAAGGGGCATGTAGACAAAGGTGCTGCAAACCGGAGCTAGGGTCAGCCCAGTACCAGGAGCCAGGTTGAGCACCTGGTACAAGGCATGGGCGTAGCCCTCGCTTGACAACATGTTCATATAGTTCCCATCGTACTCGATGTCATAAGCAACGCACGCCCGCTGTTCCTGCAAATGAGGGTTTCCGGGCTAGCAAAGTTCTCTGGCTACAACACGGATTTTTGTTGATCAAATCTCTCCTTGGATAAGCCCCTATGAATGATCATGGCGCAAACCACCAGCAGGTTTTATGTTGATTGGTTCACCAGAATGGCAAGTGGTTCCTCCATCTCAGCGAATGTCACCGCCATTTTACCACTGAACAGCTCGCAGTGAGCTGTGGGCTCGCTCCATTGCAAGGCCGGCAAGGCGAAGACCAGCGACGCCAAGACAGCAACAACCTCAAAGACAGCTCTGATTTCCTTTTTACCTGTTTGGTTATTGGCAAAAAACTGCTGGTCAGCCCTTTTGACTTGGTCATCATGGGTTGTGAACAGATTCAAGTTGGTCACAGGTTTTGGACCATTGGGGTATTTCACAACTCCTGACTAGCGGTTGAGGCAGTTGGATCATGCGCCTTGTGGGGTGGGGGTTTAGTGACACACTTGGAATGTCCCCTTGGCCGCCTAAAGGTTTTCTTTTTTTTTGAGACTCGGCTCAAACAAGAACCACTTCGGGTGCTCAAGATAGTTTGGAAACTCCCTTGAGGCTGCGACAGACGGAGCCCGAAGAGCCCGCAGTCCGTTCAAAGTCCATGTTCTTTGTTTCTCCTTCATGGATCTGGGATTGTCCATGGTTTTGACATCCATCCCGAAAGCCACCATCTTGGCCTTCTTTTTCGAGCCCACTGGCACCCCTTTTCCCATTGCAAGAGCAGGGAGGGAGCAAAGTCCGACAGGGCCAAACTGTTGCGATCAGTCACTCCGTATGGCTCACATAACATGTGTAGACAACTTGGCAAACGTGAGACTTGCATGTCTGAACTTGCCGAACGGGCTCTGCGCCTGAGGCTTGGATCGTCACTGTGCTCCGTGGTCCTGCAGCGCTGAAGGACACAGGGGGCTGGCCGGTCTAACAAGTAATCCCCCAGCCTCCACGGCCACTCCCCATCAAATTAGCATGCAACTATCCCCAGCATGCGACCCTTCGCAAGGCAGCCTTTCTTGATCATCCCAAACGTGAAAACAACGAAGTGTCATTAGTTGTTTGATTTCCATGGTTGGACTTTACATTGAAAACAATCCATGGTCGAGCTTGAGCCACCTCTGACAGGAAGGAAGAGTCACGTTTGGTTGCGTAGCATGCTCGACAAGTGAACCCTTGGCAAATGTGTGACATGTTTTGTTCCAGCATGTCGCCCGGATGTGCGCGTGCGATCCTTCACGATCTCTTCTTGCAGCTGTCACGTTCAGTCAAACGGGGGGCATCCCTAAAAATCACAGTTCCAGAGTGCGGAGGATGCTATATATGCCACACGCAATTTGAAACTCTTTGGCCATCTCCCCCGCTCGAAAGACACAGCTGGGCCTCACATTTAAGATTTTGCAGCGCATTTGGAGCACGGCTTCCTACAAATCTTGATTGCACATTGCAAGCGAAAGGCAACTTGCTTTGCGTTATCTTGGTAGTTTTTTGGGGACTTAAAAGGAGCTTGAAATTGCCCGAAGCTTGCCCGCAATCTTTCCCAATGTCAACGCATTGCAATGGCTGGCGGATGGGTACCACAAGTGCGAGTTGTGAGTAGGCTTGCTTTTGAAATCACCGCTTGCCATCAGCAATGACACAAAGCCAAAAAGCATCAACATCAGCCCCAAAAAAGGGCGCGGCTCAGAGCCAGGAAGCCAAAGATTGCATTTGAATGCCATTCTTAGGAAACTCCATATACCAGGGCGCCGATTTGGAAGGGGTTCCATTTTGAATTTGAAGGGGTTCCACTTACCAGGGTTCCATCTTGAATGGGTTCCATCTTGAATGGGTTCCATTTTGAAGGGCTTCCATTTACCAGGGTTCCATTTTGAATTGGTTCCATTTTGAAGGTTCCATTTTGAAGGGCTTCCATTTGCCAGGGTTTTGCCATTTTGAAGGTTCCATTTTGAAGGTCCCTGTCCTTGAGCCACCCCCACAAAAAGTCTAGAAGCCAGCTCGGTGCTTGGCCAGCTCAAAGGCCGCTATTGGGCCGTTGTTCTTGGCGAAGGAGATTTGTCCAGTTGGTCCTTGTCCCTTCTCGCCGATGCTCTTGACGTAGTAGGCGTTGCTTCGGAGAAGCACTTCTATCTTTGCAGTTCCTTTGCAAATGGTATAGCTGTGGTGGCCAAGGTTGGGTCGGGAACGGTCCGGCAACGCGTCTGGCGGCAGCCCCGCCAGGCTGTGCGCGCCGTAACGCAACTCTTCGCGCTCGTCCATGTCGCCGCCGATCGTGCCCTTGAGGTCGCCGCCGGTCGTGCCCTTGTCGCCGCCGATCGTGCCCTTGAGGTCGCCGCCGATCTTGCCCTTGAGGTTGCCGCCGGTCTTGCCCTTGTCGCCGGTCTTGCCCTTGAGGTCGCCGCCGATCTTGCCCTTGTCGCCGGTCTTGCCCTTGAGGTCGCCGCCGATCTTGCCCTTGTCGCCGGTCTTGCCCTTGAGGTCGCCGCCGATCTTGCCCTTGAGGTCGCCGCCGATCTTGCCCTTGTCGCCGGTCTTGCCCTTGAGGTCGCCGCCGATCTTGCCCTTGCTCCGCTTCTTCTCGAACTGGTCGTCGGAGTCGTCGGTCAAAGCGTCCTTGCTCTCGTCGCCGTTGTCCTCGCTTGCGTCCTCTGCCTTGTGCTTCGCCAGCTTTGCCTTCTTGCCCGGCCTTCGAAAAGAAGCTTTGCCACTTGCTTCTCCAGGAGCGCTCTTCTTCTTGCGCTTCTGCTTGTCCTAGGCAACCCCCTCCCCCGCTCTCCCCGTTTCAAGAAACGTTGCAAACTCAATCGATGTTGTCATAATATAAGTAAAACACGCATTCTGTCCGAGTCGCACCGCTTGCCTTCATAGGCAGCTTCGTCGGCGTAGGCACCACGGGGGTCCCGTAGAAGTTCGGCTTTCTGGAGTCAGGCGTGGTCAAAGAGAGAAGGTCGGGGCAAGGCTCTTTGGTTGCAGCGGTGAAGAGGGCCTTCTCTGACTCCACCTGCATGATCTCTCCAAACTCCCGGCAAGCAGCGCTTTTGCCTGACAAGACGCTTTGGCTCTCAGCCTCCTTGTCGAGCGACACGGCCAACATCCACCAGGCTGGCTCTTCAGTGCTCGAGCCGAACAGCGGGAAGTTGCTGGCCTCTTTGGTCAACGGGCAGGCGCTGTCTGGCTCGGGGTCGCTCTCGTCAGACCTGGTAGGAGACGCGCTCTTGCTGGTAAAAGTAGCGTCATCCTCCTCCTCGTAGTCGCCCACGTCCTTCAGGGTTTGCTTTTTGGAGCCTGACCTGAAAGCCTTCCAAAACCGGTGCAGCTTGAGCTGTGTCGCAGGGCTGGGCCATGTGTCAGGGCTAGACTTGCAAGCTGCTTGCAAGATGCCCCTGCTTGTAGATCGTCTGACAACAAACCGTTGCCAGTAAGAACGTTGGGAGATTTGGCCCCCTAGGCCCTGTAGCTCCTCCATCTCCGCCTCACCCTTGTCGGAGCTCGCCACGCCCTCGAAATCTGCATCCTTGTCTTCCTCAACGGTCTCGCCGTCCTTCGCGGTCTCGCCGCCCTCCTCGCTAGGCTCGCCCTCCTTCGCAGTCTCGCCCTCCTCGCTAGGCTCGCCCTCCTCCTCGCTAGGCTCGCCCTCCTCACCAGGCTCGCCCTCCTTCTCACTAGGCTCGCCCTCCTCACTAGGCTCGCCCTCCTCACTAGGCTCGCCCTCCTTCTCGCTAGGCTTGCCCTCCTCACAAGGCTCGCCCTCCTTCTCGCTAGGCTCGCCCTCCTTCTCGCTAGGCTCGCCCTCCTCACTAGGCTCGCCCTCCTCACTAGGCTCGCCCTCCTCACTAGGCTCGCCCTTCGCAGTCTCGCCCACCTCACTTGGCTCGCCCTCCTCACCAGGCTCGCCCTCCTTCTCGCTAGGCTCGCCCTCCTTCTCGCTAGGCTCGCCCTGCTCGCCCGTCTCACTCGGCTCGCACTCCTCGCTGGGCTCGCCCTCCTCACCAGGCTCGCCGGTCTCGCCCTCCTCACCTGGCTCGCCCTCAGCCTCGCTGTTCTCGCCTTCCACGTTGTCTGGGTCGGCTTTCGCCTCGCTGCAATGCTAATGAAACTTCTTCAATGAAATGAATACTTTTGTGGGAAGTGTTCCGTACTTGAAAAAATGCAATGCTTGAGCTGGGGTCGCTTGTGTGAATTCACTGACACAACAGTTGCGATGTTCAAGCTGAACTGCCAAAGTGTTGGGTGCACGTGGGCCTGTTTCAAAGCACTAAGACCTTTCAATCTAACAAGGTTCGTGCTTTAAGAATGTAGGGTGGGGCCATTTGAAAGCATCAGAACGATTCACATTTCTCGGCTCCTGCTTCCAGAACGTGGGCTAAGCATCAAAATGTTTCAATCTAGTTTCGGTTCCTGCCTCCAGAATGTGTAGGGTGGAGTTGTTTCAAAGCATCAAACCATTTGAATATGATAAGGTTCCTGCCTCCAGAATGCGGGGTGGACCCAAATCACACCCAAATCACAGCATCAACGCGTTTCGGTATGACGAGGTTCCTGCTTCCAGAATATAGGGTGGACATCGGACAAAGCATCAAAACGCTCTTGAATATAACAAGTTTCCTGCTTCGAGAATGGGCCTGTTTAAATGTATTTGAATCCAACGAGTTTCCTGCTTCAAAGATTCCCACCTTCTTCAAACACAATCCGGAACACTGGACAGTCCTTGCGGGGAGACTTCTTCAACATCGCTTTGAGATCAGAGACCCGCCCGTCCGTGCTCACGTTGCCTTGGATGGAAAAGATGGGCGAAACTCCACATGTTTGATTTTACCAAGAAACTGTTGCGATACAGGTAGCGAAGTGCGCCCATGAGTTTCTTCATGCGGCGGCCTTCTCGGCCAGCGAGGGTAAGCTTGGAGTTGCTTTTGTCGGGGACTAGTAGGCCGCCACAAAGATATGAATCCAGCATGATCATGCAGTCAGCCATCATGTATGCCGATGGCACCTGAATGCACACTAGTTTGTTAACAGCTCATCACTCCTAGGCATGCGGGTACGCATTTGCAAGAGGACGCTTGTTTTGCGTAGAGATCCCCTTCGGGAAACCGGACATGGGCGTGAGGGAACCCCAAGCTACTCGTTGCAGTCGACAAGCCTGCCTTGTCCGCAAACTGCTCGCAGGCTCCGCGGAGCCAGACGTAGTTCGTTGAGATTTCCTGAGTTCAACGCAGTCAAACGGCAAACCTGAAAGCCAAAATTGCGAAACACACGTTGCTCCATCTTTGGCGCAAAGGTGCTTTCACAGTGGGTCTGGTAATGTCAGAGTCCAGCTTGACAATGTCGGTCGCTGGTTTCAAATGACCCTTTCGCACTATATCCGTGGCGGCCTCCGGCATATCACCCAACCATGCCTTGGCCACCCGTTCCTTAGAAAGAGGCCGGATCATTTTTGGGCTGACATGTAGACACTCCTGACTCATGACTATTTGTAGCTGCAACGCCACATCTGCTTTGGTCCATTGAATCTTCCCTGGGCCTTAGCGGGGCAATGCCACAGACTCGCAGGTTTGAAAGCTAAAGAAACAACAGGGTGCCAAACAGTTGCTATAGTGGGGGCAGAGTTGCGCACTGAACGCCACTCACGGCTGGCCATTGCTGCTTGCATGCTGCACTCACGCGCGGGCAAGACCTTCTGTAAAGCCACGTGGTGGCACACTGATGTTGGGGGCCTCTCACATGATACCCCCTCAAGAACTGGTGCGTCCCTGTGTTCTTTCACTGCTGCAGGACACCGCTCCTTCTGCTTCCGAGCACTGGGACGCGCGCGGAAAAGACCGGACACAAACCAGGGGGCACCCCTAACCCTTTTTTGGGGGCACCCTCGCGTGTACCTTTTGGCCACGCACCCCTCATCCAATTCTCCCTTTTTGGGGGCACCCCTAACCCTTTGGGGTTCCCTGCTTGGGGAAACACAAACCAACCGGGCCCAGCCCCTTTCTTTGGAAGCCTACGGCTAGTTTGTCAAACCTGGCACTACTTGCTATTTCTTAAATACAAGCTTCTTACAAAAAGCCTGTGGCCGCGTGTCTCAGACAAGAAAACAGTGGTGACCATTTCAGGCACAGCCTTCTTTGGAAACCTACGGCTAGTTTGTCAAACCTGGCACTACTTGCTATCTCTTAAATAGGCAAGCCTTTGCAAACAAGTTTCTTAGGGGAAGCCTGCGTACGCGTGTCTCAAACAAGAAAACAGTGGTGACCATTTCAGGCACCGCCCCTTTCTTTGGAAACCACGGCTAGTTTGTCAAACCTGGCACTACTTGCTGTTTCTTAAATAGGCAAGCTATTGCAAACAAGTTTCTTAGGGGAAGGCTGTGGCCGCGTGTCTCAAACAAGAAAGCAGTGGTGACCAATACAAGGGTTCTTTCCTAAAAAACACGCATGCTGAGAAACGACAGTCGGTATTAATGCAGAGACAAGTGAACTCAAAACAATCTCGACACAGAATCTCCAAAATTATCGGAAAATGAGTTTTGGCATGGTCACATGAGTCAACTGTTGGGTCGGGCAAAGACTTCCACAATCTCTACATCCATTGGACACTCTTTGGAATAGATCCAGGGGCCAAAACGAGAGTGTTGGTGCTGGATCCAGTTGTCCTCATCAGGATACCAGTGAAAAAGATAATGCGTGATGACGGGGTTAACCTACGCGCTCAGCATTCATGCTGCCTTCAACTTCAAGGACGCATCAGTTCTGCATGCAACCTGCCAGCAATCGGCATACAAACGGAAGCTGCAACAACAAGGGAAGGCTGAGGCTGTCGTTTGTACAACAGCTGCGCTTTGGACAGCTGCGGACCCTAACGGTACCCCCCTGCCGCGACCCCAAGGATCCGACGAGGTGCAAGAGCGGTTTCCCCCGCGACAGCCAGTTGACTCTGGGCCGAACGGCTCTGGTCTGCCGCGGCTTGGCCGAGCAGCTAGACCTGCCCTTGTTTGGGCCTGCAGCGGGGCCCGGTCAACGACCCGAACCTCAACGGCAACCACCCGGCGCTGCTGGCGGCGCTGCGCTGCAACGGCGACCTCCAAGTGCCTTATCGGTTCCCCGTGACGAAGGAGACCCGCGACGACGCGCTCTGCCAGGAGGAGACCTGCGTCGGCGACGGCGACGTCAAGCTGCTCGTCCGAGAAGCGCAGAGGACCCAGGCCGGGCGGTTTTGCCCGGCTCTGTTTGCTCTCGCGTCGCGCAGGCCGCCCAAGCTGGCTACGGCTGCGACTACATGAACAAGCGGCTGCCCATCGCCGTGCAAGAGCTCAAGGAGTGGACTTGAAGGACAAGCCCGCCGGCTACGTCGGGGCGAGGGTGGCCAAGCGGCTGACCACGGACTGCTACGCCCGCGGCGTCTGCCGCGGCGCGGTGGAGTGCGCCAATCTAACCACGCGCCAGGCGGGCAACGGTCCACTCCATCTCCTTGCAGTTCGGCCTCCAACTCCTGGAGGCGGCGGCCGCCGACGAAGCTTGGCCGGCTCAGCCGCGACAGCTGCGGACAGACTCGCGGCCGGCGGCTCAGCGAGGGCGCGTGGTCTCCTGCCCGTTCTGGACCTTCTACGGGGCACGGGGGCGAGCAGCCGAAGTCCGTGAGCTCTGCGCCTTTGAGTTCGCGCGCCACTTCCTCTTCAAGCTGGCCAAGCGGCCCTTTGTGCTGGAGCAGCTGAGCGAGCGGCGCGACGAAGGTTTTCACGCCTCGCTGACGCGGGCTGGGGCGGCGAAGCTTGGCGCAAACCCCAAGGCCGTCTTGCTGCCCGGGGCGGACTACGAGATCCACAAGGAAGGCGGGGAAGACTGGCTGCCGCTAGGGCATGGACAGCAGCTCAGACACGAACTGCCCCGGCGCGAGGGGGCGGGGGGGGAGGAGGAGGCGCGCGGCGCTCGCGGCGCGGGGGCTGCGAGAATTGAGAGCCAAGGGGGGAGAGGGCGGGAGAGGGCGCGGGCGGCCGCGGTTCCCTTGCGAGGCCCCTCGTCCCGGTTGTCCAGGGCGCGCTCGGCGGCTCGGAGGAGGACTACGCGAAGCGGGTGCTGCTGCTCTTCCGCCGCGCTTCCTCGCCGACCTCTGCAAGTTCGGCAAGTCAGACTGGCGCCGCGCCCTCCGACGGCGGCTGATTCTCCGAGGCTTCCCGACCGAAGAGGTCAAGCAGTTTGCGCTGAACTTTTGCTTCGTCTACTGCCTGCCGCGGGAGCTCCGGCCGGAACAGCACTTGCAAGAGAACAGCAACAACGAGGTCCAGGACGAGGGCGTGCGCTTCGACAAGGCGGACTTGGAGGCGGCTCGGGCCACGCACGTCCGCGGCGCGGGCGGGCTGGGCTCCGAAAACTTTGGCGAACAAGACAGCGAGCAGGAGGACGAGGCCGCGGCGACGCGGCTGTGCGTCATGACCAAGCAGATGTTCGACTTGCCCCGGGCCGCGTGGAGGAAGAGCGGGGCCGACGCCTCGCCCGGCCAAGGCGCGCCAGCGCAAAACGAGCAGCTCGACCACAACGCGCTCGCCTGGGCCGGTCTGCTGCTAAATCCCACTGCGAGCGCTCCTTCCGAACAGGCCAGCGGGATTCACCTTCACGGTCCTCTTGAGAGCCTTTGGCAAAGGCAGCCACGTCAGGGGCGTCCGGCAGCTGCGCCAACGCCCGCCTTTCCCAGTCCAGGCACTCTGGGCCGTCCAGCCAGAAGAGGACGTGCAAGTGCGGCCGGCCGCTGCCGTGATACCGTTGCGCGCCCACCTTCTTGCTGCCATCCTGGAACCCCAGACGCGTGAAGAAGTGGAAACAGCCAGCGGCCGCGCCCTCCACACCCATGCCTTGCAGCAGATAGTGCGACCACTTCGCTTTCTCCCCGCCATGAAGCCGCGAACCGCCTCCAACATGCAGTGCGTGATATGGAGTGTCTCGTGCGCGGGAGCGCCGTAGCGAGCGCGCAGCTGCTTGCGGAGCTCGTCCAGCAAGAACTCGCTGTAGGGGAAGCTGAGTTCCCAAGGCGCGAAAGCCCAGTAGAGCTGCGGCGGGCTCTGCCGGACCAGGTCTTGGAGCCCAGCACAGCGCGCCAGTACAGCGGCGACATCGGGCGCTGTGCCATCATCAGTCGCATCTTGTGGCCTTGTTGCTCTGCCATGTTCCTTTTAGCTCCGAGCTCGCTCCAAAGCTGCAAATCGTAGACGAACTGCAGGAGAGCAAAGTTGGAGCCGTAGCCCAGCAGCGGGCTCATCAGCTTTGTGCGGAAGCTGCGCTTCACGCTGTGGCGCTGCCCGTCCGCACCTTCCACGCCCTCAAGCTCTGCCCCATCGTGCTCCCGCCCAAGGCGGCGCTGGTCCGTGTAGCGCTCGTGCGTCTCGCATATGGACGTTCTCCAGTACAGCGCTGGCCACACAGCGCACTCCAACCCCAGCTCTTCGAGCAGCCTCTGACGGTTGAGGAACTCCTCGTGCTCCGCATGGAACTTGCGGTAGGCGTTGTCTCCGTCGCGCAGCAGGTGCTTCAGCGCTGCCTTGGCGCGCCGCCGCTCGCCCCGCTCAGGCAACTCCGCAATCCTCTGCTTGGCCGTCTTGGTCGCCCATGAGAACTGGATCACGCGGACATGCTTCCGATAGGCATTGTTGGCACGGCTCTCCAACCCAAGGTCAAAGTCCAGCAGGCGCAGCGCTGCAATGGCGGCCTCGCTCAAACCTTTGCAAAGGCTTGCAGCCCTTGCAGGCCGAGGGCCGGATGGCAGCGGCGTGCTCCTCTTCTTCAAAGGATGTGGAAGTCAAGGGCCGGGCCTGCAAGATGTTGCAGTTGGGGCACATGCCCCACGCCCCGCGCAGACACCACTTCTGCAGGGCGATTGACTCTCGGGAGTGAGTGGCTGGCTGCTGGCAAGTCGGGGGCGTCGTCCGCTTCCGACCCTGCCGCAATCTCTGCTTGCGTGGCCCTGGGGCGTCGCGGAGCCTTGGGATAGAACTTCTTCTTGCCCAGCCGCTGCTCGGCCACCGCCTTTGCCCGGTAGGCCTGCCAGGCTGCGTGGGTCGGCGCAGGCCCGTTAGTCTTCCGCTTTGCCAGCGCCGGGGTGAAGGAAGCTTGGGCTGCGCTCAGACGCTCCTCTCGGGCCGCCGCCCTTGTCTGCGTCGGCGGGGCCCTTGGGGCCGCTGACTTGGCGCGCAGTTCTTCAGCCTCCTCCGCTCCCAGCCACAAAGCCAGCCGGTCGCAAGCAGCCTCGAAGATGTCCGGGTTGCGCTCGTGGGCCTGCAGCGCCTTGAGCACGCGAGTCAAGTTTCCGCGCCCTCCCGGACTGGTGTGGCTTTGTGTCAGAAGCGTCTTGCTGCACAGCAAGCACCTTTGTTCGCCCCGCGCCCCCCGACTGGGCTGCCCAGCTTCTTTAGTGTGGAAGGCCCTTGCAAAAATTCGTCTTGCCTCGTCGCCCAGCCGGCACCTTCCGCGCGGCTAGCTTCTTCCTGGCGCTCGCCTCCTCCTGCAGCTTCCACTCCGCGATGGTCAGCTCCGCTCGGCCTGGCCGCTGATAAACTCCTTATACGGGCGGCCTCCAAGATCCCCCCGCTTTGCGTCGCTCGGAAACTTGTTTCGGGAAGCCCGACGGGCCAGCCCCCAGCGCCAAAATAACGGAGCGTGCGCGAGCGACGGCGCGGGTTTGCCATGGCTGTCGCGGAAGCTTCGCCCGGAAGATTGTTTCGGGAAGCCCGACGGGCCAGCCCCCAGCGCCGAAATAACGGAGCGCGCGCGTGCGACGGCGCGGGTTTGCCATGGCTGTCGGCGTCCAAGATCCCCCCGCTTTGCATCGCTCGGAAACTTGTTTCGGGAAGCCCGTCGGGCCAACCCCCAGCGCCAAACGACGACGGCGAGGGAGGCTGTCGCAGAAGCTTTGGCCGTCGCCCGGAAAATTGTTTCGGGAAGCCCGACGGGCTAGCCCCCAGCGCCAAAATAACGGAGCGCGCGCGTGCGACGGCGCGGGTTTGCCATGGCTGTCGCGGAAGCTTCGGCCGTCGCCCGGAAAGTTGTTTCGAGAAGCCCGACGGGCCAGCTCCCAGCGTCAAAATTACGGGAGCGAGCGCGAGCGACGCGCCCCCTCCGAGGCTGTCGCGGAAGCTTCGGCCGTCGCCCAGAAAGTTTTCTTGGGAAGCCCGACGGGCCTGACCCCAGCGTCAAAACGACGGGAACGAGCTTTCGGGCAGCCCGACGGGCCAGACCCAAGCCCAAACCCTCGACGATTCTTCGCATCGCGAAAAATGGCACGCGACGCGCCCGGGCCGGGTTTCTGCGAACCCTAAACCCTAAAAGGTTTTAGATGCGGTCAAGGGGTGGGGATGCCGCTTTCGCCCGACCCCCAGGGTCGAGGGCGCGCTTCATCTTGGAAACCCTACACTCAAGGCCGAGCGCCGTACCGCAAGCGCTCGGCCGCAGCAGCTGCATTGGTGCTGGCGCAGAGCGAGTCCGGCATGGCGAGCGGAAGCGCCCCAAGTTGCGTTCCTCTGCAACGAGCGCGGTTTGGAGCTGTCGCTCCCGCTGCCAGCGCCAGCTGGCCCTAGAATGAGTAACCCCAAACCCCTCAACGAGTCGCAGCATCCTCCTTATGAACTTTATCAAGGCTCCTTATACGAAGCTTTAGAAGAAGCTTTATAAGAAGCTTTGTAAGAAGCTTGAAAAGAAGCTTTATAAGAAGCTTTAGAAGAAGAAGAAGCTGCACAAGAAGCTTGCTTTCGAAGCTGTCCGCTCGCTTTGCCAGCTCTGGCTAAAAATAGCTCGACTTGGCCGTTGATAAACTGCTTGCGCGGGGCAATATGAAATCCGCCCATCCGCAGCCCGAATCTTTAGAGATGTGGCCGGTTCTGGTTGATAAAACGGCCATCGCGGCCACTGGCCTGGTCCTTGGCCTTTATAAAGCGGCCGCTGCGGCTGGCCGGTCTGATAAAGCGAACACTCGCTTCGCCAGCTTTTTCTAAAAATGGCTCGACCTGGCCGTTGATAAACTGTTTGTGCGGGGACAATAGGAAATCGGCAATCCGCAGCCCAAATCCAGAGATTTGGCCATGTGGCCGCTCCTAGTTGATAAAACGGCCATTGCGGCTATTGGCCTAGTCCTCGGCTGGCTGGTCTGAAAAAGCGAACACTCGCTTCGCCAGCTCTTTCTAAAAATGGCTCGACCTGGCCGTTGATAAACGCTTCAGCCTGAGGAGCTGCGCCGCGTCGTCCCAGCAGGAGTCTTCCTCGTGGATGGGCCAGCCGCTTGCTGCGCCTTCCCGATTTGGCCGTCGCAGCACATAGCCTTGCAGTGTTGCCTCCTCCTTGCTTGGCTCCGTGGCCCGGATCTTCTCCTCAAGCCTGGCCCTCTTAGGCTCTCGCAGATAGTTGAGGCTGTGGCAGTGGACGCGCCCGCTGCCGTGGTAGGCTTGGGTCGCCGCCTTGCGTTTGCCGTCCTGATATTCCAGCCTGAAGAAGAAGGCCTGACTGGTCTCGGGGCCATCGTCGGTCGGGCCCAGGATGTGCGTCTTCCAGGCATCTCCGCCGTCGGCGCTGCTGCGCTTGTTCATTCCGGTGTAGAGGCCCCGCTCCAGCTCTGTGAAGACGTGAGCGTGGTGCAGCGTCTCCAGGCCGGCCAGCTCCTCCTCCGGCTCACCCTCCGCCATGGAGCCGCCGCGCCGCCGCCCCGCCTGCGCCATTTCGTTGAGGATCCAGGCGTGGTAGGGGAAGCTGGGCTCCCACGGCGCCATGGTCTTGAAGATCTGCGGGTGGCCACACTGCCGCTGGAGGTCGATCAGCGCGGCGTGCCTTGTCTTGAAGTAAAGCGGCGAGAATGTCTCGCCCTTGAGAACCAAGCGCAGGGGCATGCTCTTGCAGGCATTCTTGCCCCCGCCGATGCGGCTCCACAAGCTTAGGTCGTAGATGAACTGGATAGCCGGCGATGGGGCCCAAGACCTTCTTCATGAAGGACTTCTTAATGCTCTGCCGCCCCCCGTCTTCGCCCTCCTCTTCCTCCGAGGCGCTGCCTTCAGTGGCGGGTTGCCCAAGTTGCCTGCGCTGCTCCGGCCGCGGCCCGCCGACCTCCTGGGCTGGGTCGGCCGCGCTGCGGCGCCGCTGCCTCCGGATGTCGCTGGCGCGGATGGATGTCTCGCACATCGTCTCGGCCCAGTACAGGTTGGGCCACAGCGCGTTCTCCAGGCCGGGCGTCTCCAGGAATTGAAGGGGCCGCTTGCGCCGCTGCTCCGGCACCTCCTCACCCTCCCGCTCCAGGAGCTTGTCGTGCTTTTCCACGAAGTCGCTGTAGGCCGACTCCTCGAAGGTCATCAGGAAGCCATAGGTTGCTCGGGCAATCCTCCTCTCCTCACGCGGCAGCTCCCGGATCTTTTCTAATACGCTCTCAGCCGCCCAAGCCAGCCGGATCATGGCGCTATGGACCCGGTAGCCGTAGGCCGCACGCCGGTAGGGGCCTACATCAATGTTCAGGGGTCGCAGCGCCTTGACAACTTCCTTGGAGAGGTTCCGAAGCGGCCCCGGGATGTCCTCAAACTTTGGGATGC